TCCATGTCCTCATCACTCTCATCGCCGCACTGCTGTAGCCTACTCCTCGTCGCCTGGTTTTGCAGATTCTGGTTCAGCATAAACTGCATGATAATGTGTGAGGTGTTTACAATGTTCATGACTGCTGTCTTGAGCTGAGTGGGCTCCATGCTTGCCGCGGTATGGCGTCTGCACTGTTAACCCAGGAAAAAGGCGCGAAAAGGTTGTCTGCCATTGCTTTCCCGAAGGGAGGGGGAGGATGTATCCAGAACCACCCGCGACAATGTTTTTGGCCCCATCATGCATTGGGATCTCAACCCAGAATTCCAATGGGCGGAGGAGACTGCGGGAACTATGGGATAGCTACCCACAGTGCAATGATCCGGAAGTCGACGCTAGCCTCGGTACATGGACGCACGCCACCAAATTAAAGTGCTTAATGTGGCCGCATACACTCGACTTTATACAATCAGCTGCCAAAAATCGAATTCTGTACATTTGGATTAATCCCATAGTGTAGACATACCCTTACATTCACCAGGGCCCACACCCTGTTTGTAACACATACACCACATGTTGACATCTAGTGACTTAATAATATACTGCAAGTAAATATATTACAAGCGGGGGAGGGGGGTTAGGAAGGCTGAAGGAGTTTGTGTGGAAGGACACCCCTTTCGGGAATATGGGGGTGAAGGAAGCAGAGAGAAGCTTGAAAGCTTGTGTCTCTCACCAACAGAAGTTGGTTCAATAAAACAGTTGTTCTCAACCAGGGGTCTGTGGCCCCTTGGGGGGGGGTCATGTGCAGATTTCAGGGGGTCCGTCAAAATAAACCAGAGAGCAGGACCAGTGTTAGACTCACTGGGGTCTGGGGCTGAAGCTGAAGACTGTGCAACTTAGCTTTGCAGGGTGCCCTGTGGCATGGAGCCCCAGGCAGTTGCCCTGCTTGCTACCCCTGGCTTTTAATCTACTGGATCTGCAGAAAAAGAATTATTGTGTCACAAGTGGGCCGTGGAGTTTTTATAGCGTGTTGGGGGGGGGGCTGCGGCTCAGAAAGAAAAAGGTTGAGAACCCCTGCAATAAAAGCTATTACCTCACCCACCTTGTCTCTCTAGAAACTATTTCTGTTATTCTGCATCTTGGTTAGGGGGAGGATAAAATTGATTGTGATAGATCAGCCCTATTGCTCAGTGGAGGAGGTGATTTGGCAGGCAAAGAGGGCTGTCACCTACCTCTTTAAGGATGAAGCCCTGTATAGCATGGCAAATGTCCTACAGGGGGAGTCACAGTCTTTGGTGGAACACTCATATAACAACAAACATAACATAACATAAAGGAAGTATTTCTTCACACAACACACAGTCAACCTGTGGAACTTGTTGCCAGAGGATGTTGTGAAGGCCACAATTATAATGGGCTTCAGAAAAGAACTAGATAAATTCATAGATGAGAAGACCACCAAAGGCTATTAGCCAACATGATAAGGGATGCAACCCCATGACAGCTGGAGTGGACAACGGGACGGGTCTTCGATGATTGCCTGTTCTGTTTATTCCCTCTGAAGCACCTGGTATTGGCCACTGTTGGAAGACAGGAAACTGGGCTAGATGGACCATTGGTCTGACCCAGTGTGGCTGCTCTTATGTTCTTAATAGCAGTGGGGGTGGTATTACAGAAGAATATTCTCATGGGGGAGAAATCCTGTTCTCTTAGGAAGCAGCACAAAGAATGGGGTCCCCAGGGGTTAAGAGTGGGCTACCTTTTACCTTCCCACCACTGTTCTGCCTTTGCCAAAGTGGGGCCAGGGTGGAACGCCTTGATCCAGCAAAGCGCACGTGAATAACCCCACTGAAGTCACTGCTCAGGGTGGGGATTGTCAAAGGAGCCTTAGGGAGTTTGAAAAGCAATGGGAGTAACTCCCTAAGTCCCCATTGAAAGACCCAGTTTAAGTGCGTTGCGCTGGGATGGGGTGGTAGATAGGACTTTTCAAAAGAGATAACGACTTTTATCTTTTTCATCACCAGGGGTTGAATCTGGGACTGGAGCTGGTTGGGAATTTTGGATGGGGATGTTTTTTCCACACAAAATGCCCGTTTCGCAAAAATCAAATGACCGCTCCCCAGGTGCAGGCAGAAAGTGAAACTGACAAAAGCCGGCCAGGGGGGCTGCTGTGGCGTTCTGTCCCCCGCCTTTCCCATTGCTCAGCTGTTGAAAAATTCTGTTTTGATTCTCCCACAGTGGATTTTTTTCTGGGAAACCCTTTCTGTGAAAATCTTCACATTTTTGCCTTTTTGTCTTGATATGGGATGGAATTTAAAAAAAAAAAGTGAATTTTTCATGGGCAGGGATTCTGTCTTCTGGCCAGCTCCATGTGGGAGCTTCAGTGTTAAGACCACGAGCCGCTACAGCTGAGCTAAAGGGTTCATTCCCTAGCTGGTAGCAAGAGAACTCACATTCTAGATGCATTAGGCATGGGATGTGTAATACACCCTGCCTCAAAGGGTCACCTATTGTCATGACTGGGGCTTGGCCAGCCATGTCTAGTGGTCAGAGGGCAGGAACAGCTCCGGTCAGAGCTGGAGTCAGGAACCAGGAGCTAGAGCCGGGATCAGGCTCCCAAGAGCAAGCCAAGAGGCAGGTCCATCACTACAACTGGCAGGGGAGTCCACCTCATCACACAAACACTTCCTAGAACCCCTCCTGCACTTAAATAGGGTCCCTGGATCAATTAGGGGCCACAAGGAAAGCTGTAAGTCTGGTCTTCTGAGGTGGGACTTCCTGTGGTACTTCTTGTCTCTACAGGGTTTGTATGATAAGAAACATGACTCTATCATGGCTGCCTGGCAGCAGCACCGCTGACGGATGTTCTAGTCCCCACAGAACCTCCCGTCTAAGCACATTAACACAAAACCGGCAGAGAGTGCCAGTTTATGCACCACTTTGTCCATGGTAAACGTAATTTATTTATATTGAAAGCCTTGAATGGGAACAGCACAAATAGAAACAAAGAAACAAAAACATGTGTTGCCCTTTTGGCCTGAGCAGTTCGCCGGTAGTTGTGGTCTTGTGAGGCTGGGTCCGTTAAGAGAAGAAATTGATACAAGTTCCCTCCCACTAAGGCTCTGACTACACTACAGAGCTTACAGTGGCACTGCTATAGCCCTTCTAGTGCAGACGCTCTAAGCCGACGGGAGAGATCCCCTGTAGACTTAATTACTCCAGCTACTCGTTACATGAATAACGGATAGTAACATTTCACTTAACGTTGTAGTTATGTTCCTGAAAAATGCTACTTTAAGCAAAACGATGTTAAGTGAATCCAATTTCCCCATAAGAATTAATATAAATGTGGGGGGTTAGATTCCAGGGAAATTTTTTGCACCACACAAAAGACATATACACACACACACAGTTTAAGTTTAAAAAATTTAATACTATACACAGCAATGATGATTGTGAAGCTTGGTTGAGGTGGTGAAGTCAGAGGGTGGGATATTTCCCAGGGAATGCCTTACTGCTAAATGATGAACTAGCACTTGGCTGAGCCCTCAAGGGTTAACACATTGTTAATGTAGCCTCACACTCTACAAGGCAGCATAAATGGAGGGAGGAGACACAATAGATGCATGGCAGTGGCTGCAAACATTCCCTGCTGAAACTGAACGTGATGATGAACCCAGGCTATCCCACTGGAGTGCACCACTCCCTCCACTATCCAAAGTGCCGGGTGGTGCATGTGTGTGTGAGACAGAGATACACACTGTGTGCGTGCGTGTGAGAGAGAGACACACACACGCATTGCCCCTTTAAGTACACTGACCCCACTCTAAGTACACTGCCTTTTTAAGAAGATCAGCAAGTTGAGACAGCAGCTGCTGCCAGCAAGCTCCCTCAGTCCTGAGCTCTGTTGTGTTCCCACCCCCCTGCTCTGTGGAGATGGGGTACAGGAGCAGGGGAGGGGGACACCGAGACATCAGCACCCCTCTCCCCACCCCCACCCCCTCCCAGCAAGCAGGAGGCTCCCGGGAGCAGCTCCAAGGCAGAGGGCAGAAGCAGTACACGGCAGTGGGGGGAGGGACAGCTGAACTGCCCGGCAATTGATAGCCTAGGGGAGCTGATGGGGGGCTGCCAGCCCACCCTAATTCCAAGCCCTCACCAGCTAGCTTCAATGGGCTGCTCTTCCTGCCAGCAGTAGACAAAGCAGGCAGCTGCCAAACAATGTTATAAGGGAGCATTGCACAACTTTAAACAAGCATGTTCCCTATGTCAGAGAATAACAGAGTTCTCACTCTTTGTTTGGGTACAGCAAGTCAAATACTTTATTTTCTCTAACAATTGGGTAGAGGGAGAGAGCTAAACAGGTCTCTCTACAGATAAACAATTACAGCAAACCTTTATACCTTTCATTACAGACAATAAGCAACAGCTGCATTTTGTTTATACATAGGCCATATTGATATCTTATTTTTCTCACTTGTTTTGATTCTAGCCTGCATACAATATTTTCTACACAAGGTTGCAACAACTTCTCACACAGTTCTTTCCCACTCGCCTCACACAATCCTCGCTTCTACAAATCTCGTGTTATTAGGGTTACAGTTAGCCTGACTCTTGCTAACGAACTGTCATACATTGCAATCCCCTTCCTGTCCGTTCTTTCTCTGCTTCCACACCTAATTGATCAGCAACATAACAACGAAACAATGTTAACCGGGACGACTTTAAGTGAGGAGTTACTGTTGTGGAAGCAAAAAAAGAACTAACAGGAAGCAGATTGCAATGCATGACAGTTTGTTAGCAAAAGTCAGGCTAACTATAACCCTAATAATGCAAGATTTGTAAAAGCAAGAATTGTGTAAGGCAAGTAAAAAAAAACTGTGTAAAAAGTTGTTGCAACCTTATGTAAATAATATGAAGTCTAAAGTCTAAATAAATTAAAAAAAATTAAAATAACCTATGTAAAAACAAAATGCAGCTGTTGCTTATTATTGTATGTAACAAAAAGTATAAATGCTTGCCTTAATTGTTTATCTTTAAAAAACCTGCCTAGAAGAAAAAGACCCTGTGTCCTAGTGCACTCTCTCCCTTTACGCAATTGCTTAAAAAAATTAAGTATCTGACTTTGTTGTACCCAACCAAAAAAGTAAAAACTGTTTTTCTCCAACACTGTAGTTCTTAAGCAATCTTTCTCTTTGCAAATTCATCAGGTTTGCTACAGATGCAGTTCCTCTTTGTGTAGCACCTTGAACTGCTGATGGTGTTTTTGTATATATAGGCGCATTCTCCTCCTTCTCCTATTTGAAACCTGCAAAAAATTAAGAGCAATAAAGCTACAATCAGTCAGGCATCAGACCGTTCCTTCTCATCTCAGAGGACTCCTGAGAGGATGGAACTGACCCCTGTGTAGGAGGCCATTACAAGTAGAGTGTGAATAATGGATTTTTCATTTCACTGGCAATTCCAAAAAAATAACGAAAAAAATCATTCCAGGTTGACCTAGAAAACGACATTTTCGAAAATTTTGGAGAATCAAAAAGTCGAAAAAGTTAGTTTGGGGTCAAAATGTTTTGTTTGACAAAACTGAAATACTTCATTTTGACTTTGACCATTTTAAAATGTTTTTGATTGTTTTTTAAATAAAATGAAAGGAAATTCCAAAACCAAAAAAAAGGTGCATCAAAACATTTTGATTTTTTCAGGATTTTCTCTTTTTTTTTTTTTTTAACAAACAATTTTACGAAACCGACAAATTCACAAACCATTTCAGTTTAGCTGAATCTGCAATTCAGAAAAAAGTTGTGCCTGAAAAATTTCACTTAGCAGTAATTACAAGACCTATCAATGACTTAAGTCTTTTCTGTCACCTCCCTGAGAATGGAATTTCTCCTCTGGTATTAACATCTCCCTTGTTAGTTCTACCCTGTCGACTCAGCACAGAATTTCAGTCCAAGTCCAAGTGAAAATATTGAATTATTACACAAGCAAACTAAGAACCAGTGATTATTTCCAGTAGATCTGTCTGAATTCAGACTTTTAGTTGTGTGGAACTTCAACTCCATGTATGGGCAGTGTGAATGGACCGGCCCTCTGCTCCCAGAGCCCTGATTGGCTGGCAGGAAACCCTGCCTTACTTCCAGCTCTTTTCCCATTGGAGAAGGAACTGCCCAGGCTGCTGCCGGGATACAGCAAGAGGAGAGTCTGAGGACAGGTTCTATTTATCAGCCTCAGGTTCTTATCTACCCCTCCCCCGCCCCACAGTATCAGAGCACCTCACACCTCTTTAATGTATTGATCCTTACAACTCCCCTGCTTTTATCCCAGTTTTGCATGGCACAGGGAGGCAAAGAGACTTGATCAAGGTCATACAGGGAATCTGTGGCAGAGCAAAGAATTAAGCCCAGGTCTCCTAGTGTCAGTCAGAGCTGTAGCCATTGGGCCATCCTTCTGCTAAGGGAGCAGCTCTGGTCTCTGTGAGCCTGCACGGCCTTTGAGAATCAGCCAGAGCCCAAAGGGAAGGAAATGCTCTGACTGATGCTGAGGGGCACTTGGATTGTGCATTTGCCAATGAAGGTGCTGGAGTGATTTCCGGGGGAACTCCTGCCTCCCCAAGGGTCTCCATCCATCCCACAGCAAGGGCTGGCAGTTTAGAACTAACCCACAGACAGGGGAGCTCCCACCACAGCTGCCTGTGACCCAGGAGAGTGAAGAAAGGAACTCACAGGTCGTTGAATACCGAGCCATTGGGCCACTTCCAGGGCTGGCCCGGTTCCCTTCTAAGGCCGATCCAGGCATCAGGGTAGACTTTGTGTTGCATCAAGAAATCCTGTTAAAGAATGCAAAGGGGAAATAGACATTACATTGTTTGTTTGTTTTACATTGGTTTAACAAGACACGAGAAGTAATTCTTCCGCTTTACTCTGCGCTGATACAGCCTCAGCTGGAGTATTGTGTCCAGTTCTGGGCACCACATTTTAGGAAAGATGTTGGACAAATTGGAGAAAGTCCAGGGAAGAGCAACAAAAATGATGAAAGGTCTAGAAAACATGACCTATGAGGGAAGATTGAAAACATTGGGTTTGTTTAGTCTGGAGAAGAGAATACAGAGGGGAAATGGTAACCATTTTCAAGTACATAAAAGGTTGTTACAAGGAGGAGGGAGAAAAATTGTTCTTCTTAACCTCTGAGGATAGGAGAAGAAGCAATGGGCTTAAATTGCAGCAAGGGCGGTTTAGGTTGGACATTAGGAAAAACTTCCTATCAGGGTAGTTAAGCACTGGAATAAATTGCCCAGGGAGGTTGTGGAATCTCCATCATTGGGGATTTTTAAGAGCAGGTCAGACAAACACAGGTCATGGATGGTCTAGATAATTTTTAGTCCTGCATTGATTGCAGGGGACTGGACTAGATAACATATCGAGGTCCCTTCCAGTCCTATGAGTCTATTATTACAAACCAAACCCCTTGGACTCATCCTTCTCTCCCTACTCAGAGTCATAGGGCCTGATTCTCCTTTATGCTAAGGCAGGGTGGTGTAAAAGGGCCTCAGCATAACAGAGAACTCAGACCTTAGATCCAAAAGGGACCATCAGATGATCTAGCCTGACCTCCTGCACAAAAAGGACCAGATGAATCTACCCAGTGACTCCTGCATCCAGCCCATAACTTCTGGTTGAGCTAGAGTGTGTCATTTAGAAAGTCATCCACACTTGATTTAAAGACTGCAAGTGATGGAGAATCCATGACCTCCCTCTGGAAGCTGCTCCCATGGGTAATTAACCACTGACAAAATGTTGTGCTTATACTTCCAGGTTGAATTTATCTAGTTTCTGCACGTCTGGATCTTCCTCTTCTTTTGCCTGCTAGACTGTTCTAGTATTGGATATTCTCTCCCTGTATAGGTAAGGCCAACACTGAGCCCTTTCAGTAAGCCTGCCTATATTCCCCCTGGGCCTCAGTTCCCCATCTGTAAAATGGGGATAATAATCTTTTCCTTGTCTGTTTTGCATATTTAGAGTGTAAGATCATCAGCACAGGGACTGTCTCTCGCTGTGTGTCTGTGCAGCGCCCGGCACAATGGGGCTCTGATCTCCGTTGAGGCTCACTGCTATAATGCAAATAAATATAATTTTTATTTTGCATTCAGAAATGGCTTCACCCTGTTTTGGGGGGCGCTATCCTTTTTTCTGCTGGGCTGAGATACTGTAATCAGTACCTACAATCATCTTTTTTTTTAATTTAATCACCTTTTCCTGCAGGGTGTCAAGCCAAGCCAAGGAGGCACCAGGGGAAGAGCAGAAATGTTGGCTCGAGGTCCAGTTTGCTTCATCCTCAGAGAAAAGGTAGCATTTTCCTTGGTACCCAATCCACTTTTCAGGGCAGCAGGCGGCAGGGCTGTCGGGAGGGGTCACACTGTCCTTTGACACTGAAAAGTAAAAAGGGGTAAGAGCATCTCTTTCTCCTCCCACCCCACCTCTGTATCTGCCGGGAATCAGAGGGCAAAAACCCTTCAGACACAGGCTCCAGAACATCTGGTGGCTGCTGCAAGGGACTAAAAGCATCAGCAATAAAACAGGGTGAGATTTACAGAGAGAAATGATCCCCAAATCAAAGTCAAGCTCCCACTCTGAAATCCGGTCGTGTGATAGAACCCCCTGGACTGTACAGCGAAAATGTCCATCTACCAGATTTATTCACGGACACAAGCTCTGGGTGTTACCTTCAGGGCAGGGGTGTTGAACAGTTTTCCCATTTAGAGGAGGACTTTCAAAACTGCTCAGTGCTGGGCTAACGCTGCTCCCACAGAAGTCAACAGTAAATCACCCCCCAGCTCTAATGTACTGCTGTGACCTGCATATCAGAGTCAAATTCTGTAACAATAATTAAATAATAATAAAAATACCTAGTCCTTATATAGCTCTTTTAAACCATATATCTCCAAGTGCGTTACAGAAGTGGTCAATATCATTATCCCCATTTTAGAGATGGGAAAACTGAGGAACAGCTAGGAGAGGTGACTTGACCAAGATCATCCAGCAGCCCAGTGGCAGAGCCAGCACCCTATTCACTAGACCACAGTGCCTCCCTGTAGCTGCTCAGCTTTCACCTTTTTAAAACTATCACTGTGAGCATTCATGGTACCAAAGTGAGCCTTCCAAATGTGACCCAAGTGTAATCAATGCAGCAACATCTGCCTGAGTTTGAGAACCTGAGTCAGTAGAGCTGAGAGGGGAGAAGCTGCCACAACATTGCCTGAGTCTGCAGAGAGCCTGAGCCAATTGCTCTGAGAGGTGTCAATTAATCTCATTGCAGTGTTCACTCTAAACCCTCATGATGACATATTTAATACTGGCATTAACTAGTTAACTGTTTTGTCATTTGATCAGATAGAATGAGAATGGTGTGGGAATGAAACCCCTGGGGCTTTTGATTAGAGAACTGCGGCAGGGAAGGAAATGCAGAGGGGGGAAGGAGCAAAGAAATAACAGGGATGGGGAAGAGAAAAGAGGATGGGAGAAGAAAAGCAACAAAGAGCAGGAATAGTAGGGTCCCAAAGAAGAGCAAGTTCTCCCACTCAGCGATGCTGAATGTGACAGTAAGTGACTGAATAAACAATAAATAATGAGAATAATCAAGAGCTTAGTTAGTATAAAAAGACCAGATTCCCCCTTGAGCTCTGTTCAGACCTACCACTGACATCATTGGGAGACCAGCTGTAGACCATAATTAAAAATGGAATTTGGCTCTCTTCTGCCAATGAGTTTGACACCCCTGCTTTAAAATGCATGCAGTGCATACAGTCAATCACTAGGTGTCACTGTTGCCTTTCTATAAACATAAGATGCAAGAGGAGGACTTCATAGAGGCAAGGCAGATGGGATCAGACCAGAGGTCTATATATTGCACTACCTGTGCATGTTTAACCCTTTGAGGTTCTGTTCTGGCTGGACTGGCAATAGAAGGAGCAGGAGACCCCGCAGCAAGGCTGTGGCATTGTAACTGCGGGCAGCTGATGTGCGTGAAACCAGAGAGGACAGGGCACGTCATTAGGACAGTTCTAGGTTGGAATGGAACACACAGAGATGGGTTACACACTCACCTGACCAGATAATCACTGCGATAAGGAGAACTGCAAGTAGAACTGCAACTACGACAGGAGCTATGATTTTCCATGCACCACATCTCCTGACCTTGGAGTCAAACCAGTGACCTATAAAAGAACAAGCCATTAATACGCACTGGGCTGCTCTAGAGGTGAGGATGGGTCACTGGGGATAGGAACATAGAAACTGTCAGACTGGATCAGACCACTGGACCCATCTCGCCTGGTATCCTGTCTCTGACCATGGTCAACACCAAATGCTTTGGAGGAAAGGGCAAGAACTCTGCACTAGGGGATATGAGGCAACATGCCCCCAGGGACAATTCCCTCCTAACCCCATTATTTAGAGGCTGCCTTTAGCCCTGAAGCAGAAGAGATGGACAAACCATCACCATGAAGCTTGACCCGTTTCTAGAAGTCACCTGCTTTGAAATTGGGACAGTCTCCCGTCCCAGAGGCAGAGTTCTGACCGTTCCCCACCCACTTCGACCTTCTATACAACATCACTGTGGGCTCAGGAGTCTTTAACCCACTCAGGATTTTCATGAGTGCCACGGGCAGGCATGACCCTCCTCCCAGATCTTCAGGGGTGCATCTCAGAAGGGAAGGTTGCAGCGTGGTGAAATGGTGCAATGTCAGAGGATATGGGGCTCTGGGAGAGAGATTTTCAAAAGTCTGGATAATCCAGGTAACTGTTTGGGCTGGGAGTTCCAAAGTGCCTAAGGGAGTTAGGAGCACAAATCCCTTTTGAAAAATCTCATTCTTGAATTTGTGGATGGTTGTTAGAGCTGAACTCTGAGCTACCAGATGTTCTCCCATCCCTTGTGGTGCTGAGAGACACCCCTTGTGATCAGTGGCAGCAGTTGCAATAGTGAGTGACTTTGGAAAGCACACAAGGGATACTGCCTGAGGGACAGAGCAATGCTGCGTGAGCAGGAGATGAGCTACAAAAACCCTGGTGATATAAAAAGTGCCTTGGACAGTTGAACTCTGCTAACTGGAAAGAGATTCGGGGCACATCAGGAGCTGGATTTCTAACAGACTGCCATGCTGATATAACAATCTGGAAGTGTGCGTTGGATTCCCCTTGAGCAGCTCATCCACATAGAGGATAACAACTTACTACAGCTAAAAGCTAACAGAATTACTGCTGTAGCACAAGTAGTTGCAATCTACACTGTAATGCTACAGGTCGCAGGTTCTAAACTTTTCTGGCAACTCATCTGTGGTGTGTTGTTACACTGACAGTCAGAAGATGACACCTTGCAGTAGATATGACTCTGACACATTACCTAGCCAAAGGGGTCAGAGTAAGACTGGAGAAGAGAGAATGACAGTTTAAATATGTAAGCATTTTGCCGCTTTGCACTAGCATCACCCAGTATGCCTGTCTCTGGACCGCTTGGATTCCATATAATATCCATGAACCTTGGCTTGCCTAACAAACTCAAAGGGGACACACCGGGGGTTAGGTCAGTATAACTATGTCGCCCACGGGAGTGGATTTTTCACACCTCTGAGTGATGTAGTTATATCAATATAGGTCTATAGTGTAGACTTGGCCTTAGAAGGATTAGATTTTTATCAGTAAATGTTGGTAAACATTGATTTCACCAAACACACCAACCAGTGGAAAAATATTTCAATAATAATCAAAATAAGAAAAATGCTGCTTGAGAATTTATACATTAGAGTCAAAATCCAGTGATTTAGACTTCTGAATTATGCTTGTTGCAAATGGGCTAGTGAATTAATAGCAAAAACAGGTATGGTTTGTTGATTTAAGGATATTTACTTTGTATGTTTTGACAATTTGTGTTTTAATGGTTTATAAAGGTTTATAATGTTCACCGTCATTCAGTAATTGGCTGACCATCTCATAATTTGCAGCAACCATGAAAATTTAAATAATAAAAATCCAAAAATTGCTTTAAAATAAACATCGATATCATCCGTCACAATTATAAAAAAACAAAAATCAGATTCTGTCAAGCCTAACATTAAGCATGTGCTTGAGTGCTTTGTGGGACTGGGACCTTCGCATTGAAAATCCTAAATTCAAAATGCATTGCTAACTTGTGTTGGTGTGTGGGGAAATTACAATAATAAAAAAGAAATCATTAAAACTGTAAAATATAAAGGGCTTACCTAGTGTGACGTTATCTAATTAAAATATAACCATATAGATCATTATTGCAACCACTGTTATATATTTGCAGCAAATCTTGTACAAAGGTTGTCGAGTGAAGTGTCTATGAAAAGGTTATGATTTGCTGGTTATGATTATGCTATCTGTATGTATGTATCATTTTTGTATGTGAAGTTGTAAGTATTGGCTTTATATTTGGATTTCAAATGTTTGCTCCTGGGGTAACACCCACAAGGTAACACCCAGCACATCTTGGAGGGACTATTCAAATTAAGTGGCTCATCAAGAAACATTTGCTAACAATGGACCAAGGGAGACACTCATCTACACAGAGTGGACTGTCATGTCAACGTGCTGTCTGGAGTGTAGGTAATGGCTTCCTGCAATGACTGAGGGAAATTGGGCATGAACATGTGACTTGCCCATGTGACTCCAAACTCCATTTTGTTGCTGTAATTTTCCACAGTAAGAACAATGGGATGCCCTCCACCTGGCAAAAGCTATAAAAGGCCCTGGAAATACCTCCATCTTGTTTTCAATCCTGCTTCTTACTTCTGGAGGAACCTTGCTACAAACTGAAGCTTTGAACAAAGGACAGAATGACCCATCCAAGCTGCGGATGTACTCCAGAGACTTGACTTAGGCCAGCAGTTTATTCCATCACTGCTACAAGCCTGAACCAAGAACTTTGCCATTTTTGTATGTAACTGATTCCTTTAACCAATTTTAACTCTCACCTTTCTTTCTTTCTTTTTATAAATAAACCTTTAGATTTTACATACTAAAGGATTGGCAGCAGCGTGACTTTGGGGTGAGATCTAAGTTGTATATTGACCTGGGTGTGTGGCTGGTCGTTTGGGATCAGAAGAAGCTATTATTTGATGAGACTGGTTTTAAACAACCACTCATCTCTGAATCCAGTGGTTTTGGTGGTGATATAAGAACTGGAATGCCTGAGGAAACTGCCTTTATATTTTCTTGTTAGCCAGTGTGGTGAAACAGGAGTTTACTTTTGTGGCTGGTTTGGTATATCTTATAAAAGAATAACCACCAGTTTTGGGTTGTATTTGCCCTATTTCTCAGCAGTTTGTCCTGAATTTGGCATCCTCAGTTGTGACCCTCTAGGGCACGGTTACACCTAGGCTACGATGTACCACCTGTTTCTTGTCAAGCAAATTTAAGGTAACACGGTTATTCATGACTCAGGTGTCTGGAACAGGATTAGACACTGAATTTTCAACAGCTGAAACAACAATGTGTAAAGCACATATTTAGCTATTTGTGCATGGCTCAGCCTCCCTGACCCAGCTGTTAATGAAGGGAGGAGCTGATAGTCCCTGCATAGGCTAATTAGATGGGGAAGGAGGTACTGAACTAAACTGCTAATTGCTCCCTCCTTCGTTCTTATGCCTGTGAAATGTCGTATTCAACATCATCAGTAAATATGGTCGCTCCTTTGGCCTGAGTGGTATACCAATATTTGGGGCCTGGCAGTGATGTTTCCATTAGGAGAAAAAATCAATAATATCAGTCAGACATACTCTTGGTGTAATCAGTGTGGCTTATTGGATAATGCCCTGGATTAGCACCCAGGCCACCTGAGTTCAATTTTTGGATCTGCTACTGACCTGCCAAGTGACCTTGGACAAGTCGCTTCAAAACCCCATGCCTCAGTTTCCCCATGTATAAAATTGTATAATGATCATGACCTCCTTTGTACAGCACTAAATGAGACCTTGGCTACGCTGGCGCTGTACAGCGCTGCAACTTGCTGCGCTCAGGGGTGTGAAAACGCCCCCCCCCCAGCGCAGAGAGTACAGCGCTGTAAAGCACCAGTGTAATCAGCGCCTGCAGCACTGCACGCTCGCTCGCAGTGCTGCAAGCTATTCCCCTCGGAGAGGTGGAGTACATACAGCACTGTGAGAGAGCTCTCGCAGCGCTGGCGGCGCAACTACACTCGCGCTTCACAGCACTGCCGCAGCAGCGCTGTGAATCCCCAAGGGTAGCCAAGGCCTAAGAGGTAGCGATAATTAATCTTTTGTATTTACAAAGAAGGCTCACAAAGTCCTGTTTCCCTGAACACCGTAGCAACAAACAGCAGCCGAACTTTTCCTTGCTCAGAAATCCCCAGGTCTGCCCTTCCAACGAGCTCTGTGCCCAAAAAGCTCTGACTCACTGCTTCCTCTCAAGGTGACTCTTATGACTGCTTCTCCAAGTTTCCTGCTTCCAGCACACCCAGGCTGCAGCCGATATGCTTACTAGCCTCCCTGCATTTGCAACCAGAGAATCACATAGCCTCGTTGTGCCCTGCCATGTGTGGAGTGCCTACAATTATCTGCATCTCTCTTTACTACATAAAGGGACATGATTGCTTGGCAAAATCCACTGGCTTTAACAATGTCTGTGATTGTCTTTGGATCAAAGTCTCACCTGATGGCACCCATTGGCAGCTTTCAGCATAACAGTTTAGTACCAAAATACCCCTTTACCTATGATTTTCTTTGGCTCAACATTTGTGAAGTCAGTTGAATTATTCTGTTTGTCAATAGGGAGAACTTCTTGCTCCTCACAACTGTGGAGAAAAAAAATATAAATAAATAAATAAATAAATAAATATATATATATTCCAGTTATTTGTTATTGTGTGAGAGCTGGTTGAGAATTTAAATTTTGACAAAAAAGTGTGTGCGTTTGTATGCGTGGGGGAGAATTGATGAATTTTTTTGTTGTTTCCCTCCTCCCCCATTTAGAGATGGTCAAAATATTTTAAAGTCTTGATGAAAACTTTGCTTTGAATTTTGACCATCCCCCCCCCCCCCCCCAAAGAGAGAAATCCGCCCCCCACACACACAATTTTTATCCCATTTTTTTACCAGCTCTATATTCTATTTCAGGCAGTCAATGCAAAGTATGTGGGATGCTGAAAAACTGTTCGCTCCAAAAGGGTTAAGGCCACTCGTGCATCCAGCAAGACTCAGCAGTGCAGGGAAGGGACATAAGTAGAATTGGTCAAAAGTTGTCCTGCTGAACCATTGGAAAATGCTGTTTCAACAAAATCAAAATGTTTCACACGACTGTTGATTTTTGTCAAAATTTTCTATGGGAATGACTGAAATTTTGCCTTTTGTTTACATTATAATATATTGCAGAATCACATAAATGTAGGGGTGGAAGGAATCTCAAGAAGTCACGTAGTCCATCCCCATGCACTGAGGCAGGACCAGGCAAACTTAGACCATCCCTGACAGGCATTTGTCCAACCTGGTCTTAAACACCTCCAGTGACAGGGATTCCACAACCTCCCTTGGAAGCCTGTTCCAGAGCTTAACTCCCCTTAGAGTGAGAAAAGAATTCATGTTATGTTATATACATGATAGAGCCTTAAAAAAAAATGTTTTGACCTTATTGAAATGTTTCTTTTCAAGAAGGTTGTTTTGATCTTTCCAAAATGAAATATGTCAGACATTTTCTTTCACAATACATTTTTAAATTTCGACTTTTCATTCCAATTTGTAACAAAGACAAACTTTGAAATCTCAGAATTCTCCATGCTTTGGAAATTCCATATTTCAACCGGCTTTAGACATATGTTACTGAGCTAGAATAATGGTGCTTCTCTACTCTGAAAAGTGATGCTGTAAAACTGGTCCTTTCTCACTCAAAAATAGTCTGTTCCTGGGATGTACCAGCATCAGAGCTGTTCACTTCAATGGCTAGAATACATTTTTATTGCATCATACTCCTGTTAGCCCTACAGGATACAGTTCCACAAATGGGCATGGAACATCAATAATGAATATTATTATTCATATGTCTCTTTTGTGATGTACAGAGGTAAACAAGGAAGACAACGTTGGAACTCAAGCTGTGTGGAAACCTGTTTGTTTGAGTCTATAGTTGTGGCTGTTTAATACATTCTTCCTATTTAAGAAGGACTGAGTCTAGGCATCATGGCACAGAAGTATTGTTTAAGAATAGGAGGGAGTATACAAGTAACAGGAAAGTGAGTGTGGTGGGATGGGAATTCCTAGCAGGATGATGAGGAATATTTTAAACTATGGAATCATCTCGCCAAATGAAGAGATCGGAGCCCCAGTGCAGAAATCCAACTGGACAAAGCCCTGGAGAAGAGACTATAGGGAATGAACTTGAATTGTCCAGGATTGGTACAGAAGGATGGATGAGCTATGATTTATATAGGAATTAGAGTTTGGAAGACCCTATGGATTGATCCTCTTAGCGACTGTGTGCAGGAGCAGTCCTGTCTTCAATCAATTCCTAACCCCCCTTTCCAACATAGCACTCACCCACAGCTCACTGGTGTCAATGGAAAGACTCACATGGATGTCAGTGAGCATTATATCCACCCTTTAGTGAAGTGTGAGTGTGACGGCGAATAGAAGACACTTACCTGTCTGAGGTACATTCGTCATCCTAGAAGGGAAAGAAAACAAGTCACCCCATGGAGGTCCTTGTGATCTGCATCTCTGTTCACAGGTCGATTGTTACAAGAAATTATATATGGTTTGGTACCTTTGATCGGGAATTTTCCATCGACATATTTCAATTTCAATGAAAAATTTTTAATTTTCTCTTGGAAAATCAAAATGAAATATTTTGTTTTGGGTTGTTTTGACCCAAATTGAAACCTTCAGTTTGGTGAACTGAATCAAAACATTTTGTTTCGAGTCAGTCTGACAAACTGCATCTGCTTAACGTGCTCCGATGCCTCATGGGAGTTGTAGTTCAGGTGCCTCGTGCCCACATTCTCCCCTATGGGCCAGGCACATGGGTGGACTACATCTCCCATGAGGCACTGCATTCCCACCTCTGACTGAGGTGCATCATGAGATGTAGTCCAAAAAGGGGACAAGACTCATAAGGGAGAATGGGGCGTGAAGCACCCAAACTACAGTTCCCATGAGGCAATGCAGTCATCAAAGTCAGATGCAGTTTAATCTCGAAACTGACTGGAAATTAAACGTTTGGACATTTCCAAACCAACATTTTTCAGAACTTTCCATTGGGTTGGGGGGAGATATTTTGGACTTTTCATCCTGATTCAAGATGGAAACAAATGTGGAACTATCAAATAGAAATATTGACTTTCACTCAGCTCTATTGCAAAACATTTCATTGACATATTTAGATTCCACACGCAGTACCTTATCACCTTCCACAGAGAATCGATTTACACTAGTAACATCCCTAGTGGACTCAAAGGGCTACACCTCAACTGGTGTAGACCACAGTAGCTTCACTGACTTCAATCCATTTGTCTTCAATTGAGTTACGCCCATTTACACCTACTGCAGATCTGCACTAGACTTTCTGACGACCACTAAAGCCCATTCCTGGCACCTAGCTCCCCGAACGGCCACAGAATACAATACCTCACGGTCCAGCAGGCAAACAGAAGTGTCCTCTTGTTTAAAGTTCTCGGGAACATCCTCTGTTGGGTCTTCACCACTCACTTGTCTCTGAACCTCCGACGAGACGTTTTCAAGAGGACCCAATTCTGGAGCCAATTCCACTGGGAATAGGAGAGACTGAGACTCAGAACCATCGTTTGTGCCCCATTTAACAGTGAGCTGTTTGGAGCAGGGCCTGTCATTGACACAAAGGGTTCCTGACCTGCTTTGCCTCCAGGCACCAACAGAATATAAATGTTAAATAATCAATAAGGAAGAGTTCCAGCTCAGTTCATTGCTGTGATATAATATTGTTACTATCGGCTCCCGAGGCCAGTTACGCTGTTCCTGTGTTTGGGGGCGAACAGGGGGCTGAGCATTAAGCTGTCTTTGCACTCCCCGTATTTTGGGTTTACGCAGGGGCTGCCCATTGTAGGATTAGATCGGCATATAAAAGGTTAAAATAGCTTGGCTAAAGTAAATGCTTTAGCAGTTTGTGTGAAGTGCAGGTCCTGTTAGCAGTGGTAGGAAGGCCTTGAAAGAATGTGGCTTAGTTGGAAAAATTGAACATGAAAGGTAACCGATAAGATTAGGGGGAGCAGTGGCAGATTTGGGGCCTACGGAAAAATCTCCCCCCTCTCCTCCCCATCCCCAAGTTGGAGGAGCTCTCACTCCCTGCCGTGGGCTTTTTCAGTTTCGAGGCTGCAGTGGGGGGGCCAGGGCCTTGGGCGGGGGAAGAGGCGGAGTGGGGGAGGAACAGGGGCAGAGCAGTAGGGGAAGGGGCAGTAGGGGATGGAGCCATGGGTGGAACAGGGGAGGGGCTGTGGAGAAGGGGTGGAATGGGGTGGAGCCATGGGCGGGACTGCAGGCGGAAGGGACGGAACAGGGGAGCGGCCCAGGCTCAGAGCTCCAGCCAGGGCCGAGAGCTCGGCCACGGTCCCGGCCGAGGCTGATAGCTTGACCCTGGCTGGGGCCATGGGGGAGGTTGGAGGGGGAGGCCTGAGAACAGCCAGTGGGCGCGGGAGTGGGGGTCGTGGCCTCAGCTGGAAGAGGCGGGGCCTCAGTTGGAAGAGGCAGGGCAGGTGAGAGCCTCCCCAAGGGGAATCTTCACCCGCCGTCCATTTACCCAATTAAAGGCGCCTTTAAGCTTTACACCAGGACTTGAGTGTGACTGGGAATCAAACCCTCAAGTGATCACTACCGGGAACCGCACTAGCAAATATTTTAAAATTCAAAGACTCACCGGGAATACTTACCTTTTATTAATTATTAGTAGTAGCAGTAACATCATCATTACAACTTTACCTCTGAAAGTCTTCAGCAGATCACATAGAACTTTCTGGCTTTCAGAGACAGCCTGCACTCTGCTCTCCAGCTCAGTCAAAGAATCAACAGGCGCCTCCTCTTCACCTTTCACCTGCTCACACCTAACACAGACAGAACGAGGTTCCTGTCAGAATGCTCCATCCTAATTGCTGAATCCACTCAGCAGGAAAACAGGACACAGGGGCTAGCACAAGTTCTGAACATGCTGGCCCAGGATGTTATTTAGAGCATCTAACAATATAAACTTGGATGTCACAATCATAGGATTTTAAAAATTGTAAATTTAATGATTTCAACTATTTAAATCTGAAATTTCATGGTATTGTAATTGTAGGGGTCCTGACCTAAAAAGGAGTTGGGG